AACTGCTTTCTATTTGAATATGTTTTAAAATTTGTTTTTCCTGTCATGCTAAAGCTCCATTACTCCAACTTTCAGCGTGACATGATCCTTCAGACATCATGCTGATTGCTGCTCAAGAAACATTTCTGATTATTATTATAGATATTATATATAGCTGAAAATGGTTTTGTTACTTAATAATCGTGTGGAGGTGTTTTCATTTTTCTATGAACAGAAAGATTGATATATAAATATGAAATGTAAAATAGGAATGTGAATTATTTAAAATGATTTAAAATAGAAATCTTTATTGACATTATTGGTCTTTACTCTCATTTTAATTTTTTTATTGCACATTTTGCCTTTTTTATTGCACATGTACAATTCCAGACAGGGAACATATCAGCATCGTAAGGCACACCACTCTACAATGTAAAAAAGCAAGATTTGAAATTTAATGGACTATAACAAAAATATAAATCAGGACAGCGCCACAATAGTGACTATTTTGAAAATGAGGAGCATATGTTTCCCATCTCTCTACTTAGTTTTCTTTCAAGTATTTGATAGCAAACTTTGAAATATTCTGTCAGAATCTAAGAAATATAGTAAAGGAGGACGTTTCTCATGGAAAAGTAGGTTTCATTGATATTCAATAAGTCATGCTGGAAATTACATGGGAAAACCTGGCTTGTTCTCCTCTACCACGGTCAAGATATGCCGGATGAGATACAAGTCAACAGCGAAAAGTTTATGGACTGTAGAAAATAAGTCACTCTATCAAATTTTTATAGTGAAGTGAAGTGAAATGTGGCCAAGTATGGTTACCCATACTAGGAATTAGTGCTCTGCATTTAACCCATCCTAAGTGCACACACACAGCAGTGAACACACACACACCATGAACACACACCTGGAGCAGTAGGCAGCCATTTATGCTGCGGCGCCCGGGGAGCAGTTGGGGGTTCGGTGCCTTGCTCAAGCGCACCTCAGTCGTGGTATTGAAGGTGGGAGAGAGCGCTGTACATTCACTCCCCCCACCTACAATTCCTGCCAGACCGGAGACTCGAACTCGCAACCTTTGGGTTCCCACGACTTCCCCTTATATTCTCCAAAGCAACTTCACTTGAGTGTTTTTCCCGCCTAATAACTATAACCGAAAAAAAAAACTGTGAAGTAAATGTAGCAGAAAAGAACTCAAGTTCAAGCATGAACTTCAAAATATTACATTTAATTCAACCATGTAGAATTGAAAACTTGAAGGTTTTGAGATATATGTGTGTGTGTGTGATGACTTCTTAAGTATTGATTCCAAAGTACAAAACCTTATACAATTGATCCAGAAATGAGTGTACTTTTCAGTGGTATAAAATTAAGTAAAATCTTCTTTACAATGTGGGTTTTCCTAGCATGCACTGGGGGATGAATAATGAATTAGGTTGCATTTTAACAGTTTGCCAGTCTTTTTTGCACTGTTTCTTTTGTTGATAAGTTTTGTAACTTCTTTTGCAATGCCTGGAGTTCATTGTCTATTCAAAATGATTTATTTGTGCACGAAAATTGTCCACTGAAATGTTTTTGTTATAGTGTTTGGTGCACCAAGTGTTGAGGTCAGTGGATGCAGAAAGGTATCTTGTTTTCTTCACACATTTTGTTGTCTCACTTTTAGTGAGTATGTATTTAGTTCTTCACATTTGTTGGGTTGTTTGAAATACAATATTAATGTTTATTTTGTGAGATATTTCAACACATAGAAAATTTGTTAAATTGACTTATTTGATTATTTTAAGCGCCACTGCATCAGATTTGCAAGTAGTTCTAGTTTAGTAGTTTTAATTTATTTTATACCACTGATAGTTACTTCAAAATGTGTGCAAAAACATGCAATTTTTAAGAAATTCTGTCAACCTTACTTGTGATTTTTTATACAGCACACCCCAAAACAATGCATTCTGAATGTAACTCTCTTTCTGCAAATATACAGCAGGAGAGGAAGTTCTTGATATATGGTATGTTGAAGAACACAAGGCCAGATTTAACCTGGTTTATTTTTAGTATACAACAGAGCAGGCTTATGGCAGCAGGTGCTCTCTTACTTCTGCTTATGGCATCAATATAAATGAGGGATAATTACTTTTGTTACAATTAAATTAGACTCAGCAAAACAACATAATGGCGATTTGTTATGCTCTGGTGAGCAATAACAAACCAATCATAATTAACAGCTCCGGTTGTGTGAGCAACTCTCTTTGTGTAACAAATATGATCTGATACCCTAAACCAAATGTACCAGCCAAAAACTTGATGAAAGTCCGGAAATTATATTAAAGGATTCAGGCAGAATGATAGTGATTGGTCTCACACATCCAAATGAGTGTGTTAAATAACACGAGTTGTCCTCTCAGATCCGAGAGTGATGGGCTAAATCCCACAAAAGCAGGGTTCTTTCAAAAGTCTCAAGCAGTGATGTTCATTTTTTTAATAAAAATGTGTAGATGTCACATGCTTTATTCTCCCATTAGAGCTCTTCCTGTCCTGTCCAGGATTAAAAAAGAAGATAAGAAGGGAAAAAATGCCTTGAACAGCTTCTGTCAGGGAGAAAAAAGTCCCTGTGTGGCATTGGCTGATGACACCACGCTTGGTGGCAGCCTGTTGAATTCGGTTTCCATTTATCCCTTTACACCTCTTGCCCCTCCAAAGCTCAGCTCAGACTTCATAGCCTGAGGACATGGAATCATGTAAGAGGGCTCACCTGTGGCTGCGTCTCTGATCTCAGATCAGTCTGGGCTCACCTGCACCTTTGGGGCAGTGTATAGCAGAACTCACAGACCCTGTAGGGGGCTAAAAAAAAACAGCTTATGAAGCACAGCCACAGAAGGCCTCGACCACACCAACACCTGTGTGGTCTGTTTTTGTTAAACAAGTACACTGAAAAAACGTTTCACTCAAGAATTGCGAGTAAATTTCACAAATAATTACAAAGAAAGACCCCCTTACCACAGTTCACCTCTGCAGAGTACATCAGTGTCAGACAGGCTCTGCTTTTTAAGTTTTATAGTTTTAGAATATTTTAAATCCTAATGTTAATATTTCCTGTGTCACAGCCATGATATGTCAACACCACCTTCCAATTTCTGAGGAAATTATTTGAAATATTTAGATAATTGTATTCTCCTGAAGCAGGTTCCATTAGCATTAGCATCAACAGAAAACAATAAAATGGCTACCACATGAACTCCATTGGTTTTGTGAAAGAAATGCCAAATTTGTCACCACCGTCAGATGTCACCACCATAAGATTTTGTGTTCCAATGATATATCAAAACACTTCAATGTGACTCTTGAATAAAAGCTTTATGAATAACATCATTTGTCTGAGTACAAGGTTTTATTTTTTCAATTTTGCACCCTGTTTTGTCCCACTTCTCAAGAATGACTGAGTTGACTCTTGCCAGTGTGGTTTTACTGTGTTCGCTAATTAATTTCACTACTTAATTATATTTATTATAATTATGTTTGTTTCAAAACAAACGTATAAAACCACTACTAAAACTATAAAACCCCTACAGATCCTGAAAAATTGCCACTGTGACAACTAGCCTTCTCTAACATGGCTAGTGCAGCCATACTTACTAATACCCAAGAGAGTAATACTCGAAACAGTTTGAGATCCTGAATTACTTGATAGTGTTTTGTGGCAGTAACATTACCTATGGTATTTAGGGAGGAACTGTGGTTACCATGGCAATTGTTGAAGGGTTGTTGTTTTGTTCAGGAGCAGGACGGCGTTCATACAGTCGTCACGCGCCTCTCCTTCACTAATTTCAGCTGCATCTGGGCCCTTCACAACACACACGAAAACACACATATAAAAGCCATTAATGCTGACAAAATGACATGAATTGAAATGCAACATCGAAAAAATAAATTACTTGTGGGTAAAATGATATCCAAGTTGTCGTTTGCGTTATGCACATTTTTGACAGCTCTATGTTCTCAGCATTTCGGGTCCTATAAATGCATGACGGGAAGCATGTGCACAGAACAGCCGACAAATATCACACTTGAGTCAATAGACATCACATTACTGCCATCCAGCGGTCTTCGGAAAAGGACCGTTTTTCTGTCAATATGGGGTGCTGTGTGTACATTAATGAGGAAAAAAAATTAACTTAAATGATTTTAGCAAATGGCTGCAATATAACAAAGAGTGAAAAATTTAAGGGGGTCTGAATACTTTCCGTACCCACTGTATGTCTGCTTGAGACGTTTAGAAGTTCTGCCAGATTAGATGGTGAATGTCTTCAGTTTGTACCACAGGGTTTTTTTTATTTATTCATGTCCAGGCAATTACAGAATACTAACCTAGTCAAATCATTTCTTCATTTTTGGGTAATTGTTTAACATTTCTATGTTCAAGTTTTGGTCGTCAAGGCAGCAGAACTGATTTGATCTTTTTGAAACTTCACAAAGTGATATTTGTCGTGATATTTATCTATTAATTGTAGTTGCATCTGATGTTCTGTCAGCAGCAAACATGTTTGCCCACTAATGGAATTTAAAAAAAAAAGTCTTTACAGGCAAAAACAAACACAATCAATCAGTGCATGTCCATTTGGTGTGTCATATCTGAATTTTACTGTGACTGCAGGAATGATTCACATCCTTAAATCCTCGCATTATTCCTGGAATGCTTGCACATTTAAATATTTACACTGAAATGGTTGTTAAAAAATTCAGCAGTGATGAATCAGTGTCTGTTCAAGGACATTCACTATCCCACAAAGGATTGCCATTTACAAAAAAGTAACTATTCAGTACTTCAGCAGAAAATACAGCTGTCAGTCATCTTGGATATTATGTCTGCTTGAGACGTTTAGAAGTTCTGCCAGATTAGATGGTGAATGTCTTCAGTTCGTACCACAGGGTTTTATTTATTTATTCATGTCCAGGCAATTACAGAATACTAACCTAGTCAAATCAGTTCTTCATTTTTGGGTAATTGTTTAACATTTCTATGTTCAAGTTTTGGTCGTCAAGGCAGCAGAACTGATTTGATCTTTTTGAAACTTCACAAAGTGATATTTATCTATTGACACCTCAAAGAACTTCCTACAACCACAGAAAAAAAAGTCATGTAGATTTACTGCAAAGGTCCAGTGCGTATGCAAGTTTAACTGGAGGGTCAGTGACGAGGTTTTACAGCACTAAAATCTAGTTAATGTAATTTTAAGTCACTTATTGACTATCATTCAAAGGTTTGGGGTCGGTAAGACTGTTTTATGCTTTTTAAAGAAGTCTTTTATGCTCACCAAGGCTGCATTATCTGATCAAAATACACTAAAAATAGTAACTGTGAAATATTCGTACAACTTATTTAATAGATTTTAAAACGTAATTTATTCCTGTGATGTAAAGCTGAATTTTCAGCAGCCATTACTCCAGTCTTCATCCTCGCGTGATCCTTCAGAAATCATTCTAACATGCTGATTTGATGCTCAAGAGACATTTATTTACAAATACTTCTAAACAGTTTTGCTGCTTATTTTTTTGTGAAAACCATGACACATTTTTTTGTAGGTTTCTTTGATGAATCGAAAGTATTCTATACTGAACAGCATTCATTTAGGTAACATTAGAAGTCTGTACGGTCACGTTTGATCAATTCAGTGCATATCCTTGCAGAATAAAAGTATTAATTTCTTACTGACCCCAAAGTTTTGAACGGTAGTGTATATAGCATCAAGCTCAAAAGAAACTTAAGAAAATCAGTAACGACATAACATATAATAAATGCACCAATAAAAACAAGACAATAAAAAAGGATATGAAGTACAAATGAAGAGCCCAGAGTGACCATAAGACCATTAGATAGAGCAATACTGTTGAAACCAATTTTTAAATGAAGTTACTAAAGATGATATATTAGCGTTTTGAACGGGTATGTTTGGACTTACGCTCGTATTTCATCCTCTTTGTAGAAGATGTCAGGTACATTATCTGCTGCATGTATCTTCAGTGGCCTCACAGCTTTCTCGTACAGAGGTTCTCTCTTAGGAGGAAAAGCAGCATACACATCAAACCAGATGGGCCTTTCCTCGTGCTTGATGACTCCAGCTCGCATTAAATCACGAACCCTTTACAAACAACCATCAGTCATTCAGCCTAGCTATAAGAGCTCGAACAATACACTACAGAAAAGGTCTCTGCTTTATTATTTACGATTTAATAAGCGTTCTTGGCAACTTTGTTAACAGTTTTTACATAGTACACGTTCACATTACATCATATATTTTATAATAAACCGATCTCTTGTCTTTAGACACGTTTTGAACTTAATACTGTTGTCATTAACCTTGAAATGAACTCGTGAAGCACATGCTGTCACTAATGCTTACCGTGTAAACACAGTCCCGAATTTCTCAAGTCGACTTCCAGCCATAATCTGTCTATATGCTCATTCAAATTAAGTAGATAGAAATAAATATCACAGAAAAGTGTGGAGAAAAAAGTGAGTTACACGCTCTCTGCTGCAGCATGGATGCACTACTTCCGGTGTTCCTACGGATACCCATTAAAGACAAACTACAAGAATGCGAAAGAAAAAAAAACGTGTTTTTGATAGTATAAAGTCTGTTTATTATAAATGCAATATTTACCATAAATATCCCATTACAGTTTTATGCAACACTCATATGTAACACTGTGATATGTAATTATAAAAGAAAGTATTAAACAACAGACACAGAGTTGAAAGTATACTCATTGCTTGGCATGATGAACGCATTGTCTGAGACTACACTGAAAATGTGGGATTCAAATCTAAATTAAGCATAGACATTACCAATACTGTTAAAGCCGAGAAAGTACAGTATGTTGCACAATTTGTAGGTCACCAATTAAATAAGCATATTTGTGAGGTGTACAAGTAAACTTTGTATAAAAGGTCGGGTTTTTTAAGTTGATCCCTGTTGTTCAACTGAGCATGGAAACTGTAGATTGCTCCAAAAGATTTGTTCCTGCAGTTAGTTAGCGATAAAAGCACTACTCTAAAGAAGTGCAGGTCCAATCTTCCCAAAAACAAACCGTTTTAACAGTTTTACTTGAAGTTAAGAGAGGTTTTGGTATTTGGAAGCTGTATGAAAATCAACTAAGTAACACTTTTTGACTTTCTCAAATTGTGTAAATCCACATGGGGTTCAGAGTATATATTTTTTATCCACAGTAATTTCACACTTGTCTAGTACAAATATGTCACTTTGTTTCATAATTATAGTGTATACGTTTTTCTTTATTTACCCTCAAAAATTGGAAGTGAAATGTGACAACATGCCCCATATGTGGGGTACATTGTAACAGCTGAGGGGCACGTTGTAACATGACCATTTAACAGCTTAAAATGTTATCTGATCGAATGAAAAAATATACAAGACAAACTAAAATATTTTGTCAATAAAATAAAATCATTATTTATTTCAAATAGAATAATGGCGTTTTTTAAGAATGAAAAATAATCTGATTTTGGAGTTTGACAATGAACACATTGCAACCATGCTTGGGACGGCCCACATAAACGAGCCAAAATGCTTTACATGTCTTGAAATAATAATTTCTTAACATTAAACATTGACTGTCAGTCTTTATTCACCTGTTTCTCGTCGTTTATCATTAAAATGTATTAAAGTAAATAGTGTGAATTACATCACTAATGTCATAGAATAGCATGGCAGGGTACATTGTAACGCAGTGTTACAACATCTGCGCAATTGGAATTTAAAACTGGTTACTGTCTTCTGATAGTTAGCGAAGCATTAAAAAATTATTTAAACTGATAAATAACAGATTGGAGATTAAAATAATAGCAGGTTTGTCTCATTTTAAATGAGTAATAAAAACTGAGATGAAAAATTGACTTAAGCCAAAAATATTATTTTACTATGGTAAAATAAATGTCCAGCGATATTTTCAAAAGACTTGAATTTTGGCACACTTTTTTTCTCTATATAATGTTGATATAGTAACTAGTAAATGCTGTAAATTTGGTTATGCTAGCATGTGTGGAAATACATGTTAAAAGATTAAAATCTCCCATTTTTGGTGTGTTTGAATATCGAAAAGACTGAGATGGTCCAGCTGATCTCAAGCACTAAGATCCAAAGATGTCCTCATGGTACCGCTTTTCATTCTGTGAACAAAAAGCATAATCATGTAAAATTATTGACCATATATCCTTACAGACTGTAAACAATTCACTATTTCAGGACAACTGAGCCCTTGCAGGAGCATAAATGCTTTAAGAAATTATTATCTGAAGCAGCTATAAAATGTGTTAACAATTAGAAGGTTCACCTTGAGCCTTGACAGATATTCCTCAGCCTGAGTAAGAGTGATGCCCTGCCGGTTGACTAGGATTTCCTTGATAGTGGCAGCCACATCATGGGCCATGTTCATGCCTCCACAGATATACAGATGTCCTGGATTATGGTGCAAAACCTCAAAGACCTTGTCACTCAATTGTTCTCGCAAGATATCTTGGACATAAACCTGTACCAAGAATTCAAAAAAAAAAGAGAGAGAGAGCAAGAATAGTGAAAAGAGTGTTAACAGCTGTTTAGAATAATTTTTTAGATGCACTATCAATATTACTAGATATATAAAGATATACAGAGATTTCTAGATATAGATGCAGCTGTATCAAGTGTGTTTACCTTGGGTTGTCCAGTCTGCCTAGAGTAAGCTGTTGTGATACTGCTTAGGGTACCATTATCTCTCATGTCTAGAGTCTCTTCTTTGTAAAGATGATCAGTATCTGAACCTCGACACCCGAACACGAGTGTCACTGGATTCCCTTTCAGACCTTGAAGAAATAACACAACTTGAGGTTCAGCAACTTGAGGCAAGCCAATTTCAGATGCACTGTTGAAACCACTTGAATGTGATAAGGGATGAAATTCAATACCTGTTTTTTTCATGTCATGGAATTGCTGTTGCCAAAAGCTACGGAATGGAGCAATGCCGCTCCCAACTCCCACAAGAATACAGGGAGCACTAGGGTCGGATGGAAGGTGGAAACCATCAGAGCTGGAATTGTTGCATAAATGGAACAAGTTAGTGAGTTATAATCAGAAAAAAAAGATCCTATACATCTTGGGATTGTGAAATGAAGGGTACCTATGGACAAAACATGGCACCATGTCTCCTTCTTTGATGGTATTGAGCCAGGCACTACAAAGACCAAAATGCAGCGGACCTTTTCCCTCTAAAGAGAGCAGAACATATGATAACAACAGATTAAACTATTCAGTGATTCTACGTCTAGAAAGTTAATCTGTTCAGGTATCAACTAATTGATCACTGGGAATATGTTTCCAGTACCCTGTGTGTGATAGCTGACCACGGCCACAGTGAGGTGGAGCTCCTCAGGGTGGAGGTCTGGGGAGGAGCTGATGGAGTAGAGACGTGGCTTCACTAAAGGCAGCTGGCTGAGGAGAAAGGCAGCAGAAAGTTCCAGAGAGGAAAACTCATCTAGCACCTCAAGGAAAGTAGGTTTGTGGAACTCCTTCCATGTTGCGTAGACTTGGAAATCCTGTTGTAGAGGGATGTCTTGGTATGTATTTAACCAATAAACAAAGTGAAAACAACCCATGATAATTCCACAGAATGTTTCTTTTTTCATGAAAAATAAGCAGAATGAATTTCTGCATAAGTGTTCATTAACCATTATGTAAATTGCCACTTTCAATATAATGGGACATTTTCTGAAAGAATAGAGTTATGAAAGACTTACACAGGTGTTTGGCTTATGTTTCATTAATATATGCAATAAAATTCATAGTTAAATACCCCTTAACACACGTTCTGAATATAAAGCATTTTATTATCAATAGCACTTTTAGCACACTCACTGCTTTGGATTTTAAAATGAATTATTAATTTACACAAATACAGTTATATAGCATTGTCTTACAAAATTGCAAAATCAAATTGGTTCCATTTAAAAAAAATACTGGAACCGAATGAAGTTTGGTTCTGTTACTGGTTCTCGCACGTGCATTCGGGATGTTAAAAACTCTGACAGGGTTTCCAGCACTAATTAACTGTGCCACAACACCTCTACAGAATCTACAGCACGAAACAGACAGTCTGTTCTTTCAAGCGACTCAAAAACACTCATAGCAATCACTGTGGACCTATTCCCGAAATTATGATTTAAATAAGTCAAAACTTTTCAGTGAATAAAACACAAAGTGTGACCAGTGAAGTCTAGCACTATAACATATATATAGGGACTGCAGAATTCAAATAGCCTTCTGGCTAATTCTGGCATATTGACAGAAATGTTTATTAATATGCATTGTCCCTGTAATAAATAAATAAATAAATAAACAACTGATTCTTAGGAAAGTTTTTTTAGTGAATCAAAAACGTACAGCACAACCAGTATAGTCCAATCCTAAAAAAACCCTTGTAAGCCGGGTCTTTAAAATAAATCAAACACATACAGCGAGCAGTGTAGTCTGATTTCCAGATGATTGAATCTAATGAAGCAGTTCTTTTTAGTGAACGCAGCCAGTCTAGTACAGTTTCCAAAATAATGATTTGAGTTGAGTTGGTTCTTTTTAATGAATCAGAATCTTTCTGATTTTTTGTGAATCAAACACACACAGTGACCAGTGTAGTCAGAATCCTGAATGAATGACTCTAATAAGTTGGTTCTGTGAATGTGAGAAGTTATTAAAAAGCCTATGCAAACACACCTTTTACAAGAATTAAAAAAAATGTATTTAACATTAAAATTACCTAACAAAATCGTTAAGGAACCAAACTTTTTTGCAATTCTCATCCATAGTTCTGGAACATTTTTGATTATAAAAAGTGACTTACTGTTGCTAATGCAAGCAGGCGCTGTCTGTGATCTTCAAGCTTTGCCATATTTGAGAGTTTGCGGAGGAGGCTTTGTGAGGGTGGGGTGGTGACATCCAGATAGTAGGTAAGAGCTTGGGCAAGAGGACATGGTGGTATTCGTTCAACTCTCTGCCACCTTTCACCATCTGCAGGACAGCATTATTAGGTATCATTATGTTATTATGTGTAAGACTTCCATTATGTAATTAGGTAAGATGGCTCAGTACCAGGGTAGGCACTGAGGAATTCCAAGCTTAGGCTCTGATTTATAGGAGGGGCATTGGCCAGATGCTTCAGGATGCCAGCTACTAATTCAGATGAGTTCCCTGGAAAAATCCCTACATGGTCTCCAGGGACAAAGTTTAAGTGCTCTGTGTTCCCTTCCATCTCTAACTCCACCAATATTGTAGCACGACTGAGAACACATAAAAAATTAAATAAATACTGTGTTCTGCGAAAACAAGCAAAACACAACATAAGGCATCTGTTTCTGACAATAATTATTATTATTACTATTTCTATCAATAAAAAACAGATGCATGAATATGAGTTGGTTTGAGAACCTTGACTTTGGGCTCTGTAGATTCTGCTTTCTCTTTAGTTTCATGGGAACCACAGCTTTAGAATGGAGAGCTGACAGAGCTGTAAAGCCAA